CTGTAGCTCTGTCTCTTTAGTCTTTTGGTCCCTGACTCCTCTGGAGAATAGGCAGTCTGGATTTCACACCAAAAATCCCACCTTTTGTTTTCCTCTGGTCTTTGGTACTAGCGTATCTCTGCAAAGCATGGAGCATTGTGCCCTAGCCCACGACTCCTGAGCAAGCTGCATTCCAGTATGCCTTGCTTTCTGGGGGCATCCCACTCTTGTTGCAGTGGCCAGAGCTGGCTGGACAGAAAGGTCAGGTGCTGTGACATACAGGAATAGGGAAATAAAAAATTTGTGAGCGAAGGCCTTTGATGGCAAAACTGTAAATTTCCAGTTAGGACAGTCTATGTAACAAGCAAAACGTAAAAGTGCACAAAATAACAACCAAACTATTGTGATTCAAGCCTCTGAAAGAAAAATGTTTAGTCATATTGATAAAAAGCACTCCTCTTTGAAGACACTCTTTACTATTGTTAAACTGCTGATTGTTTTATATTCAGCACTTGTGCCTGAGGAATATACACCCTCTTCCTCCCCTCCCCCACAACATATGAACCAGATTGTTTATCCTGCTTTGGAAGGAGTGGTAAATGGAATGCCCTGGTTATGGGGGGTCCTGGTGATCTGCTTGAGCCCTACAGGGAGAAAATGAGGTAAGTGCAGGTGCTGAAAAATAATCTGTGTTATGATTTGTAATGCCCTTGTTGGACAGAAAAGAAAGCAAGCAGCAGATTTCACACGTGCAGGAGGGTGTCTCTCCTGGCTTTTGTGTTTGCAAATACTTGCTGAACCTCATGTGCCCTAGTGGTTGTACATAAATTACTTTCTCAGTGAGAGCAGGAGAGAAGCCAGCCCAGGAACCGGTAGTGTACATCAGCATAGTTTCATGTTTTGCTGCATCACAGCACAACTGCAGATTTCCTCAACAGCCTTTGATTCTAAATGTCAGCGACTTTGGCCATTGGGTTGCTTAGGTGCTCCTCATTCCCTTCAGGAGAGCTGCCAGGTAGCACAAGGTAACCCGTAAAGCACAGGATTAATAGCAGTTACCTCAGTGGTGATGGTCTAAGAGGAGAGGGCTTTAGACAAGAAAAGCTGATCCCACCTCCACTCTCTGCCGTCCTTGCAAGACAGCGGACACCGAGGGCATTTCAGTGTGCCCAGTCCTCATCTCCTTGCCCGGATTTCAGACCAGAGAGATTCTGGCCACGCTTCTACCTCGGGCGAGGGCTCCCCTGGGTGGCACCAAACACGGAGCAGAAGTTGGCTGGCTTTTCCCCGTTCCCTTAAGAATTCCACTTAACCCAAGGGAAGGGCCGTTTCTCTAGGTCCGGCCAGGCTCTGGCTATTTGTCCTCCTGCTCGTCACCATGTACAGGCACATGGCCGGAGCAAGCACAGAAACATCTCCTCTATCCCTGGAGAGCTTCCACTTCCCTGCTGGCTCGGGTGCCGCAGCCACAGCAGCCAAGCCCAGCCCTGATAAGCAGCTGCGGCCGCTCATCAGCCATAACTTCGTGGCTCCCCCGTTCCCCTGCTCCCGCAGCCTCCGTGCACCTCCCTTTTATCCCCCGCATGGGAAGGGGAAGCATCCCCCCGGGACAGCCCGATCCCAGCGGGAGATTCACCCGATCCGTGTGGCAGATTTACCCGATCCGCTGGGCAGTTCCTGCCTCCCTCCCGCACGCAGCTCCTCTCCCACCGCGATCCCGCTCTCGGCGTCTGTC